GGTGCTTCTGTGTCCCAAATGCCTCCCCCGGCCCATAGAATACTATGCAGCCCTCGGCAGAAGGTGCCAGCTCCCTATGATTCACGGAGAAGACAAAATATAGGAAACGGAAACATTTCTGAGATGAAAAGGGAATAAGAATACACCCCGTAAGTGAGTTTGTGTTCCCGTAGAGCATCTCAGGAAGGACACAAAGGAAAAGAGGAGCAGCATCGCAGGTGATGAGATGAATGAAGTGGCCAGCTTCATTGTTGTCGCATGTGTCTGGGCTGTATTATCTCTGAAAAATGACAATCAGAAGGAGACCCCCTGCCCCTTACGGAGCTGAGGGGCAAGGCAGACATGCAAACAATTACAACACACCATGCTCACTGCTAACGCTGAGACGAGGCAGAGTGGGAAGGGGCGTGAAGGAGTTTGGTATCGTGACGGGAGCCTCTTAGCTCAGAGTAGCCAGGCTCAAGGAGCATGGGGAGAAGGGACCTGTGGCAGACAGACTGAGGAGCTGGTGGAGGCCAGGATGCCAACTGCCTTGTGTGCCAGACGAAGGAGCTGCGATTTTATAATTTTAAAAAAAAATATATTTTTTATTGATTTTACACAGAGAGGAATTGAGAGGGACAGAGAGTTAGAAACGTTGATGAGAGAGAAACATCAACCAGCCGTCTCTTGCACACCTCCCACAGGGGATGTGCCCGCAACCAAGGTCATGTCCCCTGACCGGAATCAAACCTGGGACCTTTCAGTTCGAAGGCCGATACTCTATCCACTGAGCCAAACCGGTCCGGCGGAACTGCGATTTTATCCTCAGAGAAAATGGGCGGCTGTTAGAGACCTTCCAGCAGGGGAGTGACCTGTTCAGGTTTACAGTTCTGAGGGAGGAGTCAGGCAGGGTGGAAGGTGGATGAAGAGGGGCAAAGATGGGACCGGGAGACTGTGAAGAGGTTAATGCAAGAATCTAGGTGAGGGAAGGCAGATGGATGGCCTGTGAGAAGGGAGCAGGGGTGGAGGTGAGGGGATGGAACCTGACATTCAGTGGCTCCTCAGTGTGTAGGGAGACCATGTAGGGATCCAGCTCTGCCCCTCTTCATTTTCTCACTCTGGAGTCTTCTGCATATTCAGCTCCTAATCCCCCTCCCTCACCCCCTACTCCCGCAGCTGGCAGGATGGGTCTGGAGGGGCCATCTCCTCTGGCCTGTCTGCCTTCTTGCCCCAGGCTCCCATTTCTTGGCAAAGAGTGGCAGAGGAAAGACAACAGAAGCCCCTTTCCCTCACCAGTCAACTCCTAGATCTCTCTTATTTCTCTCTCTCTCTCTCTCTCTCTCTCTCTCTCTCTCTCTCTCTCTCTCTCTTCAGGGCCCCTAATTATTTCTGATCTGTACAGATTGCTGCTTCCCTGGCTTGGCTCTCCCACCCCCCATCTGTGAAGTGTCAATCAAGCCGTCAGATGAGCAGTTCAGCCTCACATCCTCCGTGGCTCTGCCCCAGGACACAAGCCGCCATCGCTGACACACAACAGCACGGTGCAGGGCTGAGGGCTCCCTTTCATGGTCCTCCAGCCCAGAGTGAGTGTTAAAATGGAATTTGAGGGGCTCATTCCTCTCTCCCTCCCCTGCCAGGACAGCCACAAGGCCGGGCAGCCCCGAGACAGAGGAGGAACCTTCAGAAGTCAATTTGCTTTTCATTTCAAGGTTGGGCCACGGCCAGTGTATGCTTTCGGAGGAGCCGTTTGAAATTCTTAACAAGCAGCCTAATGCTCGAGTCCAGGAATCCAGGGCGGGCTTGTGAAGTAGGGACGAGGAAATGGAATTGTCATTTTATCTCTGAAGGGTTATCGTATTAAACAAAGGAGAGGAGGGGATGCCATTGGCTTAGTCGCTTTTCCAGGAGGACGAACAATAAGAAACGTTATGGGCGGCAGGCAAAACGGAGAGGAGAACAAAGAAAGAACTTGCCCGGACCCTGGAACTGGGGACGGAGAGATCTAAAGCATCTGCATCCCGGGGGATTCCTCCTCCTTTCACAAACTGTCAATGGAAGCACAATTTTTATAGAATGCAGAAACTAATGAGCATTAAGCTCAATGACCTCGCCAAATTCTCTTTTAGATCTTTGCTAACACACACACACACACACACACACACACACACACACACACACACAACTAGGGGTTATGATCTGTGTGTCCATTTGTATCCTGCTTCTCCTCAGAGCAAATTCATATACATTTCTTCAGAGCCCACAGCCCTTGCCTCTGTCATTTAAAAAAATATAGATATTATTGATTTATTACAGAGAGGAAGGGAGAGAGACAGAGAGAGAGCTAGAAACATCCATGAGAGGAAAACATCCATCAGCTGCCTCCTGCACAACCCCCACTGGGGATGTGCTCGCAACCAGGGCACATGCCCTTGACCGGAATCGATCCCGGGACCTTTCAGTCTGCAGACCGACACTCTATTCACTGAGCCAAATCGGTTTCTGTCATTTTGAATCGCTACATACTATTCCATTGTGTTAACATGCCAGAGTTTGTTCAGCTACTCCCCGTGGTTGGCTGTTTCCAATCTTTTATACGGTAAGAGCACAGCTATAAATGTCTTCATACAAATGTCTTTTTTCTCCCCTTGATATTTCCTTGGGGTAGAGTTCCCCAAGTCGGATTTCTAGGTCAGAAGGTTTAAGCGATGTTACTGTCCATGCACACTGCCCCAGCATTCTCCTCAGCTGCCACCCACCTCTCCATTCCCTCAGCACTGACACCCTCCGATGTTATCATTGTTATTTATTTCTGCTCATTTAATGGGCACATAATCGTGCCTGGAAGTTATTTAATTCCATTTCCTCTCATTGCTGGTGAGGCCGGGCACACTTCCATGCGAGGATTTACTATCTGCGTCTCCTTCCGTGTAAACCGTTTATCTCCTCTGACATCTTATCAAGAGAAATCTGGGGGCTGACCTTCTATATTTATATCAAGCCTTTATATTCTTAAATAGTACAGTTTTCTCGGCGAGGCTTGCCATCTTTTACCCTAGGGGAGCCGTCCAATTGTAGGGTGGATGTTATCTTGTGCCTGTGGGTTGGGGCGAGGTGGGGCTGAGATGACTTATGGATTCTAGAGCAATTTTTTTTTTCTTCAGAAGGAAAAAGAAAGCCAGTCCTATGGCACCTCCTCTCTGGGCCCCTGGATTCCCAGAAAAGGAAGGGCTGGGCCGAGGAAGACAGCTTGTGGCCAAGGTCACTCAGGGGCATTCTCCGCCGGGGGCGGCCACTGAACTGGGTCCACATGGATCTCCCCGTCCAACGATGCTTTCTCCCGCTGACAGTGTGGCCACGGGAGAAACAGCAACGTATTCAAACTGGAATCATCGTCACAAGTTCTGACGATTCCCCGGTCCAGCACAGGGGTGAAGGGGACAGGTTCTGGAGCAGACACACCTGGGTTCAGATCTCGGTGCCTGTGTTTAGCAGGCCTGTGGCATTGGGTGAGTTATAGCTTCCGTAAGCCTTGATGTCTTTGGCTGAAAGTGGTACCTTGGCATGGCTGCGTAATCAATCACCCCAAAACTTAGCGGCTAAAAAGAGAAATCGGGTTTATGCTGCCTTATGGCTTTGCAGGTCAGGGAATTCAGACGCGGCGTGGTTGGGTGACTCTTTTGCTCCGTGGGACATGCCTTGGGTCCCTCCGTGGCATTTAGGTGGTGGCTGGGCGGGGCTGGTGTCCAAAATGGTTTCACTCTCACGTCTGGCGCTTCATGTCGCCTTGGGGCCTCCCCACGGGGTCCCTCCCACAGGGTGGCTGCACGTCTAACGCGGACACTCAGGACTCCAGCACTGAGCGCTCCAAGACAAGAGGAAGCCCCGTCCCAGAACGAGTCCCAGTGTCGCTTCTGCCATAGTCTATTGGCCAAGCGATCGCAGAGCCTGTGACAGGAGGAGTGACAGGGAATTTGGGGTCATCGTTAACCTGCCAAAAGTGGAGATAAAAATACTTTCGCCTAGGGCTGTACGGATTAAACAGGACAAATGCATGCAGAGGCAGTTTTACCGCGAAGCTAATGAAACGTGGACCGCGGGACTCCTTAATTGCATGGTTTCTTCCAAGTCCCAGCACCTAATTTTGCATTCATCTTTTTTTCCTTCTTTTCCTCTTCTTAAAGAGACCGCCAAATCGTATAAGAATTAGGCCCTACCAATCCTGGCTCCGCCCCAAGTGCACGTGGGAGGACTTATTTAGCACCCTGCCTAGCCCAGAGGGAGCTCTACATTGGGCTCCTCCGTGCCCGGGGCTGCCTGGTGCCTGGCCCCCTGTCTGTGCCTCAGGAGAAGGCTCCTCCCCTCCCTCTGTCCTTTCCATTGGGTCAGGATCATTTCTTCTCCTTTTTTTTTTTTTTTTTAAATGAAGGCAAAACACGCTGAGAGTAATTTCATAATCACAAGACTGCCCTTTCAATTGGCCCAGCACCTACCCCCTGACCTCACCACCCCCAGGGAGGTGGACCTTATCCTGGGCATAGCGCCAAGCTCTTAGTTCAGCCCTCTAGAATCTTCAAAAGAAACCAGGCTCCAGAGAGGAAAGCCAGCAGGGGGAGGCAGCATTCCTGGTGCCCAGCTTGGTCTATAGGAGGCATTGAAATTCCAGGGCCGAGGTGCCAGAGACAAAGATCATAATGAGCCGGGAAGGTGGCATAGGAAGGAGCCCATTTGCATGACAATAATTGAGCCGAGAATAGAAAGCTGGAGAGATGAAAGGGCGAGGCTGGCAGCTGAGCTGGGCTAACCCTCACAGATCAGACTACCCAGCTCTGCTCTGCAGGGGAGGCCAGGCTGAGCCCTGGGCCAGGCTTTGGGGGAGGGGAGGACACCGCCCCAGGGGATTGTGGGAATGCTGGCCAGGCTGGACTTTGCCCTACTCCTCCTCCTTCGGCCCAGAGCCCCGCTTTGCTTACCTTTTCCTTTGTGTGTGGGCTCTGTGGCTGCAGGGCTAAGTGGGCACCATGGCTGCTCAGAATGACCTCTGCGATGTCATTGTGATCGGGGCGGGCATCCAGGGCTGCTTCACTGCATACCACCTGGCCAAACACGGGAAGAGAGTTCTCCTGCTGGAGCAGGTACTGTGTCCCTCTGTGCTCCCGACCTTAGGGACTGTCCCTGTCTCTCCCCTAGAGAGAGGTTTCCAGAGCTCGCAGGCTATGGGGCCAGGCCAGAAGGCCTGATCACAAATTCTGTGCAATTTGTAGCTTAGCTGCCTTGTGTATGTATCATTACAACGCAAAGAAAGTCCACCCCCACCCCCCTAAGACCCATATCGGTGGGGGTGGATTTTCTCCTTTTAACACCACCATCCCACGCATCCCACCCGCCATGTTCCTGCCCTTGATCAAGAAGTGCCCCAGGCCCTGTTCTCTTCCTTCTTGCTGTCCATTCTCTTCTGTGCCAAAATGGTTGATCTGGCCCAGAAAATAAATCCGTTCTGCTTTGAGTAACCTTAAGTAAAGCTAATTTTGTCTAGAGGCAAGGCTGGTTTGTCAGCCTCTTCCCTGCACATTCCTGGTCTCTCACCCTGGCACCCAGGGGCGGCTTCTGTTTTTTCTGCCCCCTCCAGATAATAGCAGCTTCCTGTTCAATGCACAGGAAACAAGACTTTGGTCTTATTTTTCCTTATAGGAAAGGTGACCCCAGGCAATGCTGTTCATGACCATGCACATGTGGCCGGGCCTGCCTATCTACAGGGTCCTTCCCTGGACATGTCCACCCAGCTCACCTGCCACAGATTCCTCCCCTCCCCTCTGCCTAAAGCTATCCAGGCCGGTTTTGGTTTGGTTGATTCTTCTTGGTAATAAGCTGGATTGGTTGGAAACCTTTAAAAAAATATATATATATATATCCTATATAATAATCCTATATAATAATGAGACAATATACAAATTGACCATCACTCCAACACATAAGATGGCTGCCCCTATGTGGACACAAGATGGCTGCCACAAGATGGCTGGCAGGGGAGGGCAGTTAGGGGTGACTAGGCCTGCAGGGCGGGGGAGGACAGTTGGGGGGACCCAGGCCTGCAGGTGAAGGCAGTTGGGGGGACCAGACCTTCAGGGGAGGGCAGTTAGGGGCAATTGGGCCAATAAGGGAGCAATTAAACATTTATCAGGCTGGCAGGGGAGTGGTTAGGGGGTGATCAGGCTGGCTGGCAGGCAGGCAGGCGAGCACTTGAGAGCCAGCAGTCCTGGATTGTGAGAAGTTTGTCTGACTGCTAAATGGGATGGGGTCCCAGATTGGAGAGGGTGCAGGCTGGGCTGAGGGACACCTCCCCCCTCCCCCCACACACACATATTTTGTGCATCAGGCCTCTAGTATATATATAATAGATTTCAGAGAGGAAGGGAGAGAGATAGAAACATCAATAATGAGAGAGAATCATTGATTGGCTGCCTCCTGAACACCCCTACTGGGGACGGAGCCTGCAACCCAGGCATGTGCCCTTGACCAGAATCAAACCCAGGACCTTCAGTCTGCAGGCCACTGAACCAAACTGGCTAGGGCTGAAAACCTTTTTTTTTTTTTTTTTAAATTTCTCTGTCATTTTTTTAAAAAGCCCGAGGGATTTTCAGTTCAACCTTGCAGGCAACTCTCCTTTTTTCCCCCTCTAAATCCCAGGTGGTTTCCTTGTCCTGAGTGATCCGAAGCCACAGGGAAATAGTCAGCATCAGTTTCCTTGTCCATGAAATGAGGGGTTAGACTAGAATGATCTCAAAGGTCTCTCTAATTCTGCTTCTCTGTGCCTCTAAGTAGGATGGGGTAGCAGCAGGATGACTGGAGGCACACTAAGGGGCTTTGGGATGTGAATGATGTTAGCAAAAAGGAAGCTGAAGAACGTCTGTTCTGATAGCCAGGTCAGGAAGGGAGAATGTATGGAAATGTTTGAAGAGTAAGTGCTCCTGATTGACAGCTCCTGGTTGACTTGATGAGCTGGCTCTTAAAGCGGGGAGGAGAGCAGTGCAAGGGGTAGCAGCTTCGGTTGTCTCTTGTTCTCCACTTCCAGTTCTTTCTACCACACTCCCGAGGAAGCTCCCACGGGCAGAGCCGGATAATCCGGAGGGCATACCCTGAAGACTTTTACACCCGGATGATGGACGAGTGCTACCAGATGTGGGCCCAGCTGGAGCACGAAGCTGGGACCCAACTCCACAGGTTGGAGAATTCCTTGAATCGCGGGGCCTGGCACCTGGAGGTGCTTCTAGGATGTGAGGGATCAGTGCCATGAACCCTTGAAGTGCCACGGAGGGACACAGGGCCTAGGGGAGTGCCAGTCACACGGAAGCATTCTGCTCACCGTCACGATCACCCACCGGTCCAGATGGCTGCTGCCAGGGGCTGGGTTCCAGGGCTGGGCTCCGACCACGTGTCCAGGACTGGCCGAGGTTGTATCTAGATTTCCATCTGAGATTCCTGTAGGGCAGGCAGGGATGGTTATAGAAAAGGAGGCTGCTGCTGTCTTGATTCTTTATATTCCTACTAGGATCATAACTTTTCATGCCGGGTGCAGCTCCCAATTCCCGGAGTGACCCCTATAAATCCACGTTACTCTCTCTGAACACCTCCTCCCGTTGAACAAGGCGGGGATGCTCCTCAGACCCCAGTGCTTGCCAGGGAGCGAGCCTGCAGCTCTTTCCTTGTAGTCCCCAAGGCAACCCTCAAGGCCCCTCCTTACCGACCTTTCACACGCTCATGGGGAAGGAAGCCTGTGATACAAAGTGAACTTTAACCATCCGACCACCTCCGCTCCCATCTTCTCTGGGCTCTTTTTTTTTTCTTCTTCTTCTTTTTTGTTGATCTCTATGGCTCTTAACTGAACTTCCTACAAAACTCTAGCTCTACCCTACAGAGTGGCAGTTATTTTTAATGGACAGAAACCAAGAGGTTACTGTTCTGTAGCAAAAACACCATTAACTTAAGAACAAACTGAAATCCATTATGCAAATACAGCTAGGGCGGCTAATTACAGATTTATTCCAGAGGCTGCTAATGCACCCAGCACCCAAATAGAGGAAGGAGCATGTCCTGCTGAGGGCAGCCTGGCACAGGGACCCCTCTCCGCCAGCCATCTGTGAACTCTGCTGAGTCTCTCGTGCTTAAGGAAATGCTGAGGCCTTGGAGGGCGAACTCCTTCCTAGCGGACAAGGAGGCGGCTCAAAGAGATGTTAGAAGAGTGTCTGGCCCTGGCTGGTTTGGCTCAGTGGCAGAGCGTCAGCCTGCAGACTGAAGGGTCTTGGGTTCGATTCCAGTCAAGGGCACATGCCCATGTTGTAGGCTCAATCCCCATTGATTGGCGTGCAAGAGGCAGCCAATCAATGATTCTCTCTCATCATTGATGTTTCTATCTCTTTCTACCTCTCCCTTTCTCTCTGAAATCAATAATTATATATGTATATATATTTAAACTTTTCTTTAAAAAAATATATTTTATTGATTTTTTTACAGAGAGGAAGGGAGGGGAATAGAGAGTTAGAAACACTGATGAGAGAGAAACACTGATCAGCTGCCTCTTGCACCCCCCCCCCCTGAGTATGTGCCTGAAACCAAGGTACATATCCTTGACTGGAATCGAACCTGGGACTGTTGAATCTGCGGGCTGACGCTCTATCCACTGAGCCAAACCAGTCAGGGCTAAAACACACATACACACGCACACGCACACGTGCACATGCATACACTCACACTCACACACACGCATACACACACACACTCACACTCACACACACATGCGTACACACACACACTCACACACTCATACACACGCATACACACACACACACATACACACACACACTCACACACACACACACACACACACACATTTAAAGAAAGAGTGTCTGGAGTCAGAAGGCTTGAATTTGCCTTTCTGCTCTGCCTCTCACCGGCTATGTGACCTTGGGAAAGTCTCTGTACCTCTCTGTGTTTCATATTTTCTCACGGGGTTTTCTGAGGATTGAACGAGACTTGTGAAGTAGTTGGCACAGTGCCTAGCACTTTTCAATAAATGGCAGTTCCTCCCACCTGTTTTGGGTCAGCCACATCCTATCTCAACTGAGCCAGGGAGGAAGTAGGGCAGGAGGAGACAGATGGGATGCAGCAACCGAGAATGTCGAGGGAAAAGGCTGCTGGAAAGGGAGTAAGGGAAAGGCTCTCATATTTTCTTAATCTTCTTCTTTGGCAGGCGGACAGGACTTTGGAACCAGGCAGGCCTGGATTTAGATATCAGCTCTGACACATTTAGCTGTGTGGTTTGGAGGAAATTGTCTAATGTCTTTGAGACTCAGTTTTCTCATCTGTAAAGTAGGAATAATAATGTCTGTTTCAGGGGCTGTTGTGAGGATAAGTAATGAAAAGGGTTTAGACAAGCATCATCATCATCATCATCACATATTTAGTGCTTATAGTAAGAAAGTAAGGTTGTTCTAAAACTACCTGATATAGTATTAATCCTCTTAATTCTCACTAAATCTCATTAGAGGGTTGCTACTGAGTAGTCAGGGCCTTCACCCATTAGTGCAAATCACAGAATTCTTGTAGTCTAGAGCAGGGTTTGGAGAACTTTTTCTGTTATGGCCAAATAGTATTTTAGGTCTTGCAGGCCATATGGTTTCTGTTGCAGCTATTGAATGTTGCCCATTACTCAACTCTCCCTCTGCAGTGTGAAAGCAGCCACAGAGAATATGTAAACAGATGAGCATGGCTGTGTCCCAACAAAACTGTATTTATGGACACAAACATTTGATATAATTTTCATGTCATGAAATATTCTTCTTTTTGCTTTTTATCAACCATTAAAAAAAATACAAGCACCATCTTGGCTTGTGACAAGAACAAGTGTCAGGCCTGACTTGGCCCCTGGGTCGCAGTTTGCTGGCCCCCTGGTGTAGAAGATACCACACATTGGTTCCTTTGTCTACCCCCTGTCTCCAAACAAGTTATTGCTAAATCATCCCAGATCAGAGGACTGCTGATGTACATTTAAAGACAGAGACATACATAGCCCTCCTTAAAAGACCATTCTGATGTCTCCCAGCCTCAGTTATGAAAAAGGAAGAGTAAAAGGAATGTGCTTTGAAAACCTTAAAAGAGGTTTTTAGAGGTCATATAGAGTGTTAAGTGTTCTGTATTATTATTATTTTAAAAATATATTTTATTGATTTTTTTTTACAGAAAGGAAGGGAGAGGGAGAGTTAGAAACATCGATGAGAGAGAAAAACATTAATCAGCTGCCTCCTGCACACTCCCTACTAGGGATGTGCCTGCAACCAAGGTACATGCCCTCAACTGGAATCAAACTTGGGACCCTTGAGTCCATAGGCCGATACTCTAGCCACTGAGCCAAACCAGTTAGGGCTACTATTATTATTATTCACAAGTCCTTTCTATTGCTAACCCAATTGACCCAGGCACAGTAATTTATTTATTTATTTATTTATTTATTTATTTATTTATTTATAACTTAGTAAGGGACACAGAACAGATATTTCCCATTCCAATTCCTTTAGCTTTTGTTCTTAATTCGGGTTTTCTAAATAATCCATCATCTTTGTGGTGGATCATATTGTAACAGATTCTTCTGGAAGAACTAGCACAATATCATAATCTAACTGATGGATAGGAGTGCATTTACTTAATGCCATTTGATGATGATTTAAAGAAAATAACACCTTCAGGAGTTGGTAGGCAAGGCGGTTGGTTGCTCCATTCTTTTTAGTCTGCCCTGTCGCTTCCTGTGACAGTGGCATACTAACCATGGGTGAGCTCGGGATATTTGCATATATTCTGGAAACAGGCTCTGACACATGTGTCAGATCACAAGGTCTGAGCCTTTGTGATGTGTACAGCCAGCACGCTGATAGCAACAGCAAATCCCAGCTCCGTGGCCCCTCTCTTCGCGCCCCGCCTTTTCCCTTTGAGGCCTACCATCCAGCTCCTGACCCCGGCTGCCCCTGCTTAGCTGACAATATCAGACAAGATCACAGCCGCAGGCTGTACAGCTGCTGGCAGAACCTGGCGGCCCCCTCCGCAGCTGCTGCTTCCTGTGCCTGCGAAGTGTCTGGCTTGTCAGCCACATCCCCTCCCCGGAGCGGTCTTTGTTAACCGATTCCACCTCGGCCCGCTGAGCAGAGGATGAAACGCCGCCGAGAGCTCCTCCAGCACCAACAAAGACAGCAGCCATCACACGTCCTTACTCAATCCCTTCCCCAAGGTGACTCTGAGAGCTGGCTTGCCTGGCACTTTTAACCAGGAGATGGGGAAGCTGGAGACTGGGCTAGGAGTTGGCATATGGGAGGAGAGATGTCTGCCCTCCCTCCCTTACCCCCCAATTCCTCCCCACTCCATCTTGCCTCCTGTCCTGGTAGAAATCCCTAGTCACTAACTCCATGGCTTTAGTGGGGCCATCGAGTCAACATGAGCCTTGGGAGGAATCTTTGATTCCCTCTTCCTCGTGCCAGTCCCAGCAGGGGTTGGGAGGAAGGCACAGTTCATGCCCATTGCTTCGCACTCAGCTGAGGGCATCGGAGGAGTTGGGAGCTGCACTCTTTCCAGGGTTTCCTGACCGCCCGGCCCCGCCTCACTCGGGATGCCTTCTTGCTAGGCCAGCCACAACCAGTCCTCTTTTGGGCATTTCCTGTGATGCTTCCCCAAATTTTGTATCTTAAGGTCAGAGCAAAAAAAGAGGAGAGAGAGAGGCCTAGGGCACCGGGGCGAGAAATGGATGCAGAACGAGCAGTGTGTTTATTGGGATCTAGAAAAGCCATTAAAAAAAATAAGCACTTAACTGATTTTCAATCTGCCCGTGGAAGTCATCTATCTTCATACCGGGGGGAAAGGCCCATTCTCTCGTCCCGGTTTTGATTGACTGATTTCCAATTCTCTAAGCATTTCCCACAGGAGCCTCTCACCTATCTCCCATAATGACAGGCCTCTGCAATGCCAGGCAGTGTTTTACATTTATTTCCGATTTGCTCATAATGGTCAAAAATCTCCCTCGGATCCGAGGCGCTTCTCCAGCGGGGCTCGGCTTCCCTCAGGCCAAATAGCTCAGCCGTGATCCACGGAAAATGAGAATTTCCCAGACGCGTCTTCGGACGAAGGGAGGGTCCAGCATCACACATTCAGATGGAAAATTTCCCACTGTTAGATCAATATCTGGGCTAAGAAATAAATGCCACAGGGGCAGAGAGCGGGAGCGAAATGATTACGATCGGCACAATTACATTCGCCGGCAGAGCCGGCTCGCTGATTGCTCCTCGGGACGGGGCTCTCCCGCTTCATCCACCGCAGGACGGCTTGGGAATGCGAGCGTCACTCAGCATTTCATAATTCAGCAGATTGGCCCGTTGTCTTGGCATGCGTTCATTTCCCCTGTACTGTACATTCCTGCGAGAGGGGATCTTATTTCAAGGAAGGAAGGGGAGAAGGAGGGAAGGAAGAAAGAAAAGGAGGAACGGAGAAAGGAAGGGTTGAGGGAGAAAGGGAAAGGAGCAAAATCTGAGAGCATACGGGAGACCAAGGCTGATTGATACATTGCAGGCAGGGTTAGAATATGTTGTTCTACTTTCAGGCCAAGCGATCTGACTGCTCTCGTGAGCGGTTAAGCTAGGTCTTTCCCAGAATTCTACCCGACTGCCACCCCATCGGGTAAAAAGGGCTCAAGAACATACACTTGGGTGACTTCTTTTTAAAAAATATATATATATTTTATTGATTTTTTACAGAGAGGAAGAGAGAGAGAGAGAGATAGGGAGATAGAAATATTGATGAGAGAGAATCATTGAATCAGCTGCCTCTTGCACACCCCCTACTGGGGATGTGCCTGCAACCAAGGTACATGCCCTTGACCGGAATCGAACCTGGGACCTTTCAGTCCGCAGGCTGACGCTCTATCCACTGAGCCAAACCAGTTTCAGCTTTGTACATTAATTATCCTGTTGACCATGATGTTTATTTATTAGGCACATTTCCTTTAGCTGAGCACCCATCTGAGGTTCTTTTTGGGGGGCCACAGGAAAAAGACGGTCTGCCGCTAGTGGGGATTTCTCTAGCATCCTTCCTCTGCCGAGCTTTGAAGAGGCAGAGTTACTTATTGCTTTCTCACCAGTGGTGAATGCTGGGTAGGCAGGGGCCATAGCAAATGAATTGGGCACGCTGCGTGGCTCTGTGTACTGACACCAGCCCCGGGGCCCGCGGCGTCCCTAACCCCTCCCAATCTCCTCTTTAATCCCCCCAACCAGATAATGTGGGATTTGGAAGCATGTAATATCCATGAGACTCCATTATAGGCTATTACGAGCTTTATATGTGGTACCCGGAGGATGTACCAGGCTGATGCCGGCCACCACGGCTGCTGAAACTGAGAGAGATGACAGAGATGGTTCCAAGGGCCAACGTGACCTTTCTATTGTTTAGATCATTTTCCACAAAAAAGGAATCTCTGGTTTCTTGTGACCGGGAGACAGAAAGCAGTCCAGAGAAACAGCTTTTACTCCCTGAGTGAGTAGGAGACACAGAGGGAAGTATAGAGAGAAACAAAGTTGTTGAATCATTACATTAACTTGCTGGAGTCTTAAGAGACCTTCTTCTGGCATTTCTGCATGAAGGTGCTATTGGCATTTGGGGGGGATCTTCCTGAGCATTGCAGGCTTAGCATCCCTGGTCCCTGTCCACTAAATGTGAATGGCAACCCCCGGGCATTGTGACAATAAAAAAGAAAAAGGCCCATGACATTTCCACATGCCCCTGGGTTGGAGATGGTGCACATTGATGTGGAACCACCGATAGTCCAACAGACATTGGCACAGAGGAGGAATCTGGGGCTTGGAGGAATCAGAGCAAGGTCACAGGGGATGCTGGGATTGGCCCCAGAGCCAGACTTCCCAATTTAGGTCCCTTTCCACCAAATGGGCAGTCTCTAAGAAGAAGCAGAGAGATAGACAAACAAAGGAAGGGACAAAACATTACATGACAAGAAAAGGGACAGGGGAAAGAAACAGCAGGGGTGGGGGAAGAGGATAGAGTCAAGACGAAAATAGTGAATAGGGTCAGGGGATGGGAGGAAGGGAAGAGGTCACATCAAACTCATGGAACACCTACCACTTTCTAGGTATGGAAATAAAAGAGGACTTAGGGTCTTTGGCCTCAAAGACAGAATGGATTCTGAGAGGGATGAGGGAGAAACAAGCAAACCTATAGGAGTGAGAGACAGGGCGGACTTGGGAATGGCCTGGAAACCAGCTCAGTAACACTGTGGTTCTTGCTACAGAGTTGAGATAACTTCACTTGTGTGTTGCTATTAAAAATATATATTTTATTGATTTTTACAGAGAGGAAGGGAGAGGGAGAGACAGTTAGAAACATCGATGAGAGAGAAACATCAATCAGCTGCCTGGGGATGTGCCTGCAACCAAGGTACATGCCCTTGACTGGAATTGAACCTGGGACCCTTCAGTCCGAAGGCCGACGCTCTATCCACTGAGCCAAACTGGTCAGGGCCGTGTGTGTGTGTGTGTGTGTGTGTGTGTGTGTGTGTGTGTGTTTTAATGGAAGGCTGGGACTCTCCTTGAAGCCTGGCCCTGGGTCCCTTGCTGAAGAATGAGAGAGAATGGCCCAGGATCCTGATGCATACCTTCACCCAGGTGTGTTTTAGTTATTTTATTTTTTTACAGGCAGAATGGACTGCTACTGCTGGGAGTGAAGGAGAATCAAGAATTAAAGACAATCCAGGCCACCTTGTCTAGGCTGGGGGTGAAACACCAGTGTCTCTCACCTGAAGAGCTGAAGCAGCGTCTCCCCAGCATTCGGTTGACCAAGGGAGAAATGGGGCTCTTGGAGGAGTCTGGAGGAGTGCTCTATGCGGCCAAGGCCCTCCGGGTCCTTCAGGTGATGCTGTGCAGTGTTAGGGGCAACGCGACTCCTGATCTGGGCACCCTGGGTCCCAGTCAGTCATTTCCCACCCCCCTCCCCCCATGGATGAGAGCCTCTGCCATGCTGGCTTTAGTCTTGACCTTTGGGGAGGGCAGTTTTATATACCCTGCTAGGTCTTGCCAGTGTGGGGAGGAGTTTTAGGATCTGCACTCTTTCCTGCCCTAAGCAAAGGACTCGTTGTCCACCAGGGTGAACTGCATCTATATCACCATTTGCCCTTCTCTGATCTTGCCTTTCAGGACACAATTCGACAGCTGGGAGGCAGAGTGTGTGATGGCGAGAAGGTGATGGAGATAAAACCAGGGCTGCCGGTCATAGTGAAAACCACCTGCAAGAGTTACCAAGCCAACAGCGTGGTCATCACAGCAGGTCCTTGGACCAACAGGCTCCTCCGTCCCCTGGGACTTGAGCTGCCTCTGCAGGTAAGGGGCGCCAGGAGCCCGAGAGTTGGTGCTTAAGAGAAGAAGCCTTGGAGCCAGGTGGCCACTTCCTGGTGGACAGCTTCGGGCAAATTGCTTTCCCTCACCGAGCCTCGGTTGTATAACCTGTAAGATTGGAGACAGGGCCGCTGGAGAATTAAATTAAAAGATACACATAAAACTCTTGGGAGATGGTCTGGCCACTTGTAAGCACTCGGTAAATATAAGGCATTGTTAATTCCTGGAGGGAAAGAAGGGAAGCGGGGTGCAGTTATAGGAGAAGACTAAGCATAAGAGAAGAGACAGAGACTCAGAGATTTCTGTGCATCATGATATAATGTAATACGCAAATGACATGACAGCTGGATGGAAAGGGGACAGATGAGTTAAGTGGGCATCTGGGCTATGTGGCAGGGCTAGGAGACTCCAGAAGAAACGGTTCTATGGTCTTTAGCGTGCCCAGGCTTTCCCTTCTCCTCTCCCACCTCCTCTCCCTGCTTCAAGGCCCTGCGGATCAACGTGTGCTACTGGCGCGAGAAGGTTCCCGGACGCTACGGTGCGTCCCAGGCCTTCCCCTGCTTCCTGGGCCTGGACCTCAGGCTGGCTCCGCACCACATCTATGGGCTGCCCTCTGACGAGTACCCCGGGCTGATGAAGGTGAGTGAAAGGTGGAGAGGAGGGGAGGAGGGGTGCACACAGAATTGGGGCAACTGCTCTTTCGTTCCCAGACGACGCCCTCAGATGCCCATGGGCAGCAGCAGGAGTCCACCTCCCTGCTCACGACTTGCCTTTCGAGACACCCAGCTGCCCGAGGCCCAGCGAAGGGAGCCCAGCCCTTCCTTTGCAAACAGAGGGTTGGCGGGGAAGGAACAGCTAGGCAACCTTGCGTGGCAACCAGCAGCATCTGTCAGGGGATTGGGGGAGGCCGGGATGATGGATGGGGGCACCGTGTGCACGCAAGCCTGTCCCCTGGGCTGGGTGGGTGTGCGGGAATGCCGGCCCTCGCAGCTCCCTCACTCACCCTGCTCTGATTGGGAGCCAGGTCTGCTATCACCACGGCAACAACGCAGATCCAGAGGAGCGGGACTGCCCCGCAGCCTTCGCTGACATTCAGGACGTGCAGATCCTGAGCCGCTTTGTCAGAGATCACTTACCGGACCTGGAGCCCGAGCCTGCCATTGTGGAGCGTTGCATGTACACGGTGAGGGGTGGGCAGCCCCGGAGGACAGGGGAAGGAGACAGATGGGCCTGGCGCTGCTCGGGCTCGACGCCGCTCGACTCCTGACGTAGTATGTGACTTGAAACAAATGAGTTAATTTCTGTGGTTCGGTTCACCTCCGCCAGCGAGGGCCCATTAGAGGTTATTCATATGCCTTTTCATTAGGAAACTAGACTTAGGCCTGGCAGTCGCTTCCCAGAAGGGCTCTAAGAGATTTCTTGGCGAGATGTTCCAGTTGAGCGGGCCTTAGGGACGAAGAGAAGAGACAGATGTCACCGGAGCTCGAGGCATCTTGGCTAAGTTCGTTTTGCGCGCATTAGCTGAGCACCTACTGTGTTCATAGCTCTGCGGAGGAGAGAGGCAGATGGACGAAAGAGAAAGGCTGACGTGCCCAAAGGGGGCGCGGGCACGCAGGGAGCGCCCCTGTGCCGCGGTACCATTATTCCTGGAAAGAAACCCAGCCTCACCCTCTCCCTCCCGATTGTTTCTTTACAGAACACCCCCGATAAACACTTCATTCTTGACCGACACCCCAAGTATGACAACGTTATCATTGGTGCTGGATTCTCGGGTGAGTCTGAGAAGGGGGAGGTGGGGTGCCCTAAAGCTGAGAGTCAGTGCTCTCTGCCAGGCAGGATGGTGTTAACTGGCCATTAGGGGCCAATGCCTACACACCGAGTGTATAAGGGGCTGGGCAGGGGAATCAGAGCGGGGAGGGGGGTGCCATAGTGGCAGGCTCTATCTCGGGACGGGGTAGGGGACCTCCAGAGAACCCGGCCCCCGTCTCTGGAGGTCCACAACCTGCTCTTCTCCCTCTAGGGCATGGATTCAAGCTGGCCCCTGTGGTGGGCAAGATCCTGTACGAATTAAGCATGAAGCTGACACCATCCTATGACTTGTCCCCTTTTCGAATCAGCCGCTTCCCTGGCCTGGGCAAGGCTCACCTTTGACCCAGACATCCAAGACGTCCAGCAGCCTTTATTTTGAGCAAAGGTGCCGTGAATAAAGCCCTCTGTCGGGAAGGCTTCTTTGGGGGGGCGGAGGGGGAGAGAAGGAGTGTCTGTGGGATGTCATCCTCTTCTGCGTTGAGAGTCCCCCCTAAACACCAGATGGTTGGATGTACCTTCTTCGCTGGCCAGCTCCTCAATCCCATTACTTTCTTGCTTCTAGAAGGTCAATCCAATATTCTATCATCATGGAGTAGCAAGGGCCTTGGAGGTGCAATGAGGGGCATAAGGGCCGGGGCAGGAGACCAAAGTGGTTGTTAAAATTCTCTTGGCCGGGACATCTGATGAGTTGGAGATGGGTTTGACTAGGGCTGCCCAGGGGAGGGTAAACAAGATGGCTCCTGTCCTTGAAGTTCCTTTTCCTTAAAACTAGAGCCAACCTCCATCACAAGCTCTGCTAAAACCTGGCTCATGCCGAAACCGGTTTGGCTCAGTGGATAGAGCGTCGGCCTGTGGACTGAAGGGTCCCAGGCTCGATTTCGGTCAAGGGCATGTACCTTGGTTGCGGGCATATCCCCCTTGGGGGGTATGCAGGAGGCAACTGATCGATGTTTCTCTCTTATTGATGTTTCTAACTATCCCTCTTCCTTCCTCTCTGTAAAATACCAATAAACACACACACACACACACACACACACCAAAAAACCTGGCTCATTGTGGGTGCACCATAAATGTTTGTTGAAAATAAAACACACATGTTGAATCAACAAATAAGTAATGGCATTGCCTTAAAGCCTGTGGTGGGCTTCATTTTCCGCGTGACCTCCTTTCCTACAGACTCAGCGCCACAGAATCCATTACCCCAGGATTACCCTTTGATGCCCTGCACCCCTTTTCTCTGGATTCTTTGTCTGGTTCTCATCCTCTCTCTGGTTCTGGAAAGATGCTCAGCCCCCAGCCTCCCATTAAGGTGTATTGTCAGGTCCTTATGAAGATGGAACTGTTATACCAGAAAGAAAGAGAGACACACTCGCTTAGAAACCCTGCTCAATGTTTGAATGTTAAATGTGCCATTTTATTATCATTAGGATTGCTCCCACTTAATGAAACGGCATTAGCACCGAGTCGGCTGGCCTCCTTGCACTAATTGCTTTGAAAGGGAACAGGCTCATGACTACCCCGGGGTGGGAGGAGGGGTGAGGGGTGGGAACAGGGACTCACTCGAGGCTTAACGCACTAAGACGGAACCCAAGCAGGAGGCTGGCTCTCCAGACCAGGCCGGTTGGACCCCAGAGAAAGGAGCTAAAGTGGGCTGGGGAGGGGAAGACTGGGGCTGGTGCGAGGGTGGTGGCGGTAGTGAAAATATTAGGAGGAGTTACTGAGCGGGAAAGAGTGGGAAATGGGAATAAGAGCATAACTATTCCCAGAGGAAATACAACACAAAGGAAATTACCCTTCCACTGTCGTATAGGCCTAGGCACATGGCTTAGCCCTGATTTCTCCCGGGAATTATAAAAGGCAGCCGATCCTGACAGCCCCGTGACAAGTCAGCTTTCCGCCGCTCAGAGTGGTCCCTGAACCTCAGCCTCCATAACGTGGTGATAATGACCACATTCCTATCTGCAAAATGGGCAGAATACTACCACCCAGCTGAGCCTGGAAGATAAAATGCCAACTGAAGTAAGCCAGACACAAAAGGATCCCTTTTTTTTTGTATTCAGAGAAACAGGAAGTAGAAGGGTTGACTCCAAGGGCTGTGGGGAGGAAAGGATGAGGAATTAATATCTAAGGGACAGAGTTTCAGTTTTGGAGCCCAGCCAGTGTGGCTCAGTGGTTGAGTGTCCACCCAGGACCCGGGAGGTCACCTGGTTCGATTGCTGGTTGGGGCACATGCTTGGGATGTGGGATCAGTCCCCAGTGGAGGGCGTGTGGGAGGCACGATGCTTCTCTCTCCTCAAGGATGTTTCTGTCTCTCTATTCCTTTCTCTTCCTCTCTCTCTAAAAATCAGTAAAGGGGGGAACATTTTTTTTTTTTTTAAAGTTCTGGCGATGGATGTTGATGATGCTTTCACATCCTAATTTAACACATCACAAACACAATCATGGTTTAATTGCGTGTACTTACTGCCACAAAACTGCACATATAAAATGGTTAAAAATGGTACATTTTATGTTACATATATTTTACCACAATAAAAAAACAAACGATAATAATATCAACCAACTCTGCAGGAGTGTGTGAGGATTAAATGAGACCATTCATTCATTTATTCCTTCAACGCACAAATATTTATTGAGCTTCCGCTGTGCGCCAGGCACCGTGGTAGGCACTGTGGATGTAACTGTGAACAAAATAGATGGAAATCTCTGCTCTGATTAAATGTGCAGTCCAGGGAGGGGAAGAGACGTAAATGACACATATAAGTAAGTTACACTGTATGTTAGAAGGGGACACGTATGCTGAGAAAAAACAGAACAGGGTGAGGAAGACAGAGGAGGCGGGGGGAGGGACTCCCCTTTTCGATGGCGGTCAGGGTGGGACTCACTGAGGCGCAAGCATTTGAGCAAGCTTGGAGGAACGGGAGCGTGCCAGGCAGGGATTGGGATGTATGTCAGAGAACGTGGTGAGTTGTAAAGCTGGGCATTGTGTGCGTGAGAGAGAAAAATGAGGTACGGAGAGGAATCCATCACATTCTTGCCAGCTCCCAAGGCTGGCAGAGCTGGGCAGAAAGGGTGTTGGGAACCTCTCCCTCACGTCGCACGGCTGCCCGCAGCTCCCTCTGCCTCTCTCTGTGCCACCCTCCTTCCCCCCCCCCCCCCCCCCCCCCCCGCCAGCTGCAGCTTCCCTTCCAAAATATCCCGTCTAATTCCGCTTGCTGGTGGCAGCGAGAGCAGGGGACCGAGGTCTAGAAGAGGCTGAGGAAGGACAAGTGGGGGATGCTGACAAGCCCTGCCTGAGCTGGCGGAGGCCCGTGACAAATGAGCCGGTGTGTGCCAGAAACAGGGTGCACGGAGGGGCAGGGACAGGGCATGCAGGGTCGCACAGGTGTGTGTGTGGGAGTCAGGGCCGAGTGAAGAGCAGCAGGACTTGGGAGAGAAGAGACCAGCCATGTGTAGGCCCCAGAGGTAAGTAAGGGCCTCCTCAGCCAGAGGAAACGGGTCCGGACGGGCCAAGCAATGCAACTGCCAAGGGAGCCTTTTTTATTGGGGGAGGGAGGGGGCCCTCGGGGGGAGGAAGAAATGCAGAGATCAGCCCATGGGCATCGAGAGGAGGACGAGCCATTGCGGAGCGGGTCGGAGGATGCCGCGAGGGTTTAATAACACGGAGGGATTTGCCCAGGCAGACTCACCAGCATTATCTCCCTGCTTTTTCTTCCGCCTGAGCGTGGCCAGGCATCCCCTTTCAGGCAGGCCCGGCGTATCTTCAAGATGGAAGAGAATGGAAATAAATCGGGCAGGCAATGAGACCTGTGGAAGGGCAGCTGGGGTCCGCGCAGGCTGCAGGGGAGAGATAAGGGCAGCGGAGGGAAAGAGGCCCGAGTGGTTGCCAACCAGACGAAGGAAAACAGAGGCAGGCTAAAAATAGATGGGGGGGGGGGGGGGCGGGAAGGGGAGGAAGAATAGGGGGAGGGAGGAGAGCCAGTCCAGAAAAGGAGAGAAAGCAGAGGCAATCGATGCCACTGCGCCTCTGACCCAATTCTACATCCCTCAGCCTCACCAAACTGAAGAATTAGGGGGTAACGGGGGGAGGGGGGGAGATATGATTGCTACAGATAGAGAGGAGCGTCAGAGGAAAGTAATTGGAGTCTTAAGACCGAGGCAGTTGTGGGGTACAAATCAGTCATCAGGATGTGGAGTTAGTGCCGGTCAAACCCTCTCCGGAGTTTGGCACCCAGAGTAGGTGGCGGAGCTTAGGGAGTGTGAGTGTAACTCGGAAGGGGGTTCACCGGTCCGGAAAGGTACAAGGAGGCCACAGGATGGGCTAATCTGGGGTCAGCAGGCTGGAGGGTGGCTTAATGCTCGCATTTGACCTCTCAGGAGAGGGACTAAAGAGAGTTTGGTGAGTGGGCATTCTATTTCAATGGTGGGCTTGCTTCCCTTGTAGCCAGAGGGATTCAGGTTGGACCTCAGGATATCTATCGCACTGAGCAGATGTGTGAGATATTAAAACATGCATACGAGCACTCTTATGATAATCTTTCCTGGGAAATCTTTTAAAAATGAGAAGCTCATTTATGTGGGCCTCTAGGCTTGCCTGAAGGCTGGGACCTCCCCCCATCGACATCGCTGGAAGATTTCTGCCTAGAGATGAGGTGGAAGGTTTTTATTATCTCGGAGAGAGGGTCTGGAACGCCTATGGGGCCAGGGCCTGTGGCAGCGTGAAGGAAGCACCGAGGCTGGGGGAGGAAGGGGCGCACAAGGGCATTAGGCCTGTGGGGCTGGGAGAAGCCGCGGGATCCAGGGGGCAGGATTCTAACAGGAAGGACCCAAAGGCATTTACATAACTTTGAATAATGAATAAGCCCAGCTCTGGGGCTCTTAGTCAGCATGCTCATCTACATCTTTATTAAGCTTTATAAATGATTCAGCTCCCTACCCCTGCCCCCAGCCCTGCCCAGCCTGCCCCAAGCATCAGGGTAGTTGATTGCTCATTATTTGAGACTAGATTTGTTTCACCAACATTCAGTGGGGCCCACAGGAGAGAGGGAGGCAGCCAAAGGCGAGCTGAGGGGAGAGGTAGGGGAGCGAACAGAAGCAGTGGCCATGGGCAGCTGGCTGTGAGCTAGGGACGCAGTCAGAATTCTCTAAAACAACCCCGGGGCCAACATCCTCAGGAGAGAAAGGCGTCTTAGTTTCCCTGAAAGGTGCTGTGTTCGAGTTCTACTCAATCCCCAGTAGGCACGTGGCTTGGCTCCATCACAGTCCAGAGCCCTTTGAGCAGCTAAATGAGTACCACCCCCAGGGAAGTTCTTGTTTTTTTTCCTGAGGTAGGAATTTTGCTA